CCGCCTACTTTGCTCAACACGCCTTAGATGATACAATTGTATGATGATAACAAGGTGGAAGACTAGCCATTAACTTGCACTGGTGCCAAGGATTTATATACACAGCTCCAACCTTCCCTGTACCGTGTCCCATGCCTCGCAGATGGCATCCATATTTATCTAGCGTCTCACACTGGGACCCATGCTCCAGAGTCTCACATAGGACTGTCACTCCCCACTGGAGCTCACAGTCACTGTGCCCTCACACTGGGCTGCCCCTCAGTCCATTGGGCTCCAAGCCCCATCCCAACTCAGGGCTCCAAGCCCCATCCCCTTCCTTACACTTGGCCTCTTCCCCTGCCCTATGCTGGGCTGCAATCCGTTTGCCCCAGGAGCTTCATGCATAGCTCCCCGTAGGCTCACGGACCATACCTCTGGAGCCTCACTGCTCCCTTAGTGTGCCTCATTGCTTGCAATGAACCTGGGCTGTCTCTGGCCCCTTCACCTGGCCAGGACCCCACCTCAGAGCTCACAGTGAGCCTGGGCCCTTGCTTTGTTCTTCAGGGTGTGCTCCCCTAGCCTTTGCCCTCCACAGGGTTACCTGCAAGGCAGTGGGGGCTGAGGTTTTCTGGCACCCCATACTTTCCCTTCACTGGGGAGGTCCCAGGTATGGCATTTCCTGGAGACTGCCCCACCACCAGCAGTCCCAGCACACCAAACAGCCCCAGTAGGGTGTAGTTTTAGATCATGCCCCTGGACCAGGAGCCTCCAGCCATACCCATAGCTCCTGCCCTTACCTCCAGGATGTCACAAGCAGCAGTTCCAGCCAGGTGGTATCTCCCAGCTACTAGCAGCAGGCTGCTTGCTTTGCTGCTCAGGACCCTGCTTTTATAGTGAACAGCTGGACCCTGTTCCCAATTAGATAATTAGGTCTGATTGGGAAAACAGCCAGCTTCAGGCTGCTTTGCTGCTGCCCACACCCCTGGGAGTAACATAGCGCACGCTGTGCTCTGTTACACACATGTACAATAAAAGACCTTGCAAAGTACAACAAATGAGCACAAGCATGTGTAAATGTGGTGTAGAGGCATGAGAAGAAGAAAAGACCTGCAGATAGAGGATTAGTAGTACCTGGGCCCTGTTGCAAGGGAGAAGGTGTCTAGTGACTGGAAGGAGTCGTCGTCAAGAGCCTGGCTCCTAGGCTAGAGAGGGGAGTCTGGCCCAGATCCTTGGGGAAGAAGAAGCACAGAAGAAGGAGCTCAAGTCTCAGGCTGAGATGAGCTGCTGTGTTTCCATGTTTACTTGTCATTGGGCCATGAGCCATGGGAGCCACGGGGTCACTGTGGGTACCTGGGGAAGGTGCTGCAGGTTTGTCCAGTTGACATCGGACTGTTAAGGACTGCAGACCATGAGAGAGATGCCTGAATGCAGGGGTTCCTGAAGGGTTCCAGGATGCTGTGGGAGTTCAACCAGGTCTGAGGACTCTGGGAGGGCCATTGCCAGGCCCAGGAACTCTACAGAAGAAGCATGTGGAATCTGAGTGTAGGGGAAGCCAAGAAGAAGCACATAGCCCCAGTAGCTCCCCACAGAGTCCTTGGGTCTCCCAGTAGTCCCCTCAGAGCTCCTGCAGCTGTACTAAGCTATGAACTTTTTTTATGGTAGGCATACTTCTGGTGTATTGTTTCACCTCTATAAATCAGCATGTCTCCACTGGTTTATACCATTTGAGCATTTGGACCCCAAAGTTGGCTTGTAGCTCGAGGGGGGGGGGGGCGGGGGGGTTGGTTTAAAAAAAAGTCTTTACTGCTCTAATCTTCCCCTCTATTCTTATATCCCCCCTCTATAGTTAAATAGTGAAGTCTCAGCTGTCCATCACTGGTAAAACACCCACATTATTCCTCCCAGTTTGACAGAATGCATCAGGAAACCTCACTCTGAAAATTAATCCCAATTGGGCTGTATGGAAACAGTGTCATGTGGATTGACATCTGGCAGACAGCTCTTCCTATCCAGTCTCATCTATCATGCTTGGATCTCAGCAGCAGCTGCTGAAAGAAATACACCCACATAGTTATGTTAACTGGGTATGTTATGACTTGTTCTTCAACAGTCTCTTAGATAGTCTATAGCTATTTAGTATCTGTCATGTGATGTGTCCTTGAAATGGCTTAAAGGAGGTCAGATATTATTTGATATACTTTTAGACAGATATTCTTGCCCTCTGATGAGCAGTTATATATTTCAGGACTTTGCAGTTCCCCTTGTCCCTGGAGGAGAAATAAGTAATGCAAAGATCAGGGTATTTTTTCACAGTAGCTTACTTTAATTTACCTTGTATACAGGAGTCCTTGCACAGAGGTAGCCACAAACAGCATGCAGGCAAACCCCTATGCCAGGGGATCACAGTAAAAATAAAAAAATAAATAAAATCAGTGCTTGGTTCCAAGGGAGCAAGTTTCTCCCAAGAACTGACTTAAGTACAGAAATTAAGGCCAGAATCAAACTCTCCTACAGTTTATAGCATCTGGGGATGTAGGAATTAACAGACTGGATCAGATCCGAGGTCTGTCTGTCATTGAATGCTATCTCTGAGAATGACCAGCACCACAGAAGAAGGTATAAAACCCCCATTGTAGCAGATATGGGATAATCTTTCTCCATACTGGGTGCATCTACACAAGAGCTTTACTGCAGAGCTGACTAATTAGCTCTGCAGGAGAGTGTCACTGTCTAAACTATATTAGGGTACAGTAAATTAATTAACTCCACTGCAGGATAGTACTGTCTGGGACAAGTACTATCCTATGTCAGAGTCATTTATGCACGTGCAGCTGGTGACCAGGGCTGGCTGGGGCACGAGGCTGCTGCAATGCAGGGGCCACCTGCCAGCTAGCTTCATACTGTAGCACCCTTGTGCCCCATCCAGTCCTTCCACCTCCCCACACTGCCACCCAGAGCCTGGGGCTGACCTCCTAGGTCTACTGCCAGCCCAGGGCTGCTCCGCCCCAGCTCAAATTGCTGTGATCCTGGGCACACATGTAAACACCGCACCCAGGAGCAGCTGACTCTGGCGTGAACTGAACCAGAGTTTATTCAGTTGTGGTAATTGCACATGTAGATGCACCCACTAGGTTGTATCCTGGCCTCTAATACTTAAACCAGCTTATTTACTGAAGTATGAGATGTAATATTCCTGCCAATTTTATTGTTTACATACGATAAAGCTAAATTTTCTTTATCTAAATATCAAGTCTCATTTTGAATCTTGCTGTTTTGGATAGCAGTGCATTCCACAGTACGATAGTACATTGTATATATTTACAATAATTCATTGAATGTTTCCTTAGTCTTGTGTTAAGAGACAAGGAGAGATGCTCCTAATCTCCCTTCTCTGGACAATGAATTGCTTGATAGGCTTTACCATGTCCTTCAGAATTTCACCTTCATGTACTCAGAGGGCTCAGTCCTGCATTACAAAAGTCACTTCAGGTTTAGCAGTCAACCATGACAGAAGTAGGACCAAGGTCTTAGCATATTTTTCTTATATGGAATTTCCAGCCCCACCTGGAAATAGTGCCTGCCTCCACTCACACAAGGCCTATTTCAGCTAAACATGGGGTGACCCACCCACTGGTGAGTGTGCATTGCAAACTGTCCTTTCTGTACCCAACCCACAAAGGAAATAAATGTATTATAGATGTCAGTAGAGAGCTCTAGTATGTTAACTAGTATGTTAACTCTAGTATGTTAACTAGTGATGCACCTTTTTAGTTCTGGAGGGCCTTCACACCATCCTGGGGTGCAGACCCGGATACAGGCACAGGCGAAAGAGTGGAAAGAGTTTTATTACTTCACTGAGCTTGACTTTAAATAGTGCTGAGTTTGTGGGATTCCTTGGTCCATATTACTGCTAATCAATAACTTTGTGGGTGCGAATCCCCTTCATTCCGACTAGGCCGTGCTTGCCTGTATAAGGCAGCATTGGTTCTGCAGTGGATATGCATGGTGTTCGTTATTTTCCTCTAGAGGGCAGCCTGTTAATGCTTGATGGAGCATGTGCCTGGTTGCCATTTTGTCCCTGGTGTTTGAAGCACCCTGGTGCTGCAGGGGCTGGGCCTGGAGTCTCCAGCCTGGTAGGCATGCGTGACATGTCACCAGTTCCCTTTGATGTGTCAGCGCCTCACATCAATCCCTGCCTACTGACAGTCAAATAGCACAGTGTAAGAGGGAGCTCTCTCAATCGTGTTTCACCTGGTGGATTTGAAGGGTCTATAGAGCACTGTTAGAATATCATGGTCCATTTAGCAACTTTTGTGGGATCATTGGCTCAGAGACCTGTGGGCAGACACCCAACACCTGATTGCCAGTATCTAGCCAGGTACCTGAGCCAAATGCCTTTAAGTTATCAACAGTTTCATAGCAGGAGCCTAGGACAGAAGAAAATCTGTGAAATGCTATGGCAGGAAAGCCAAACGGTTGCTTCTTCTGTGGGTAGGAGAATGTCAGACTCCAACAAGGAGCTGATTTCAAGGAGCTGACTCCTTGCAGTTCTCCTTGTCACACTTGTACTTTCCACACCAAAGCCCTCTGTCCAGCTGAAAGGTGGTCCCACGGAGGAGCAGAGAGGTCTAAAACCCAAAGACAGCATTAGCTCTATTTCCCAAGGAACATCCAGAATGCTCCTGACAGAAGCAACATGCCAGCCCAGTGACTGATATCAGAAAATACCAGGAGCAGCAGATACTGGCTCCAAGTTGGCAGTTCCTCCTAGCAGCTGAACAGAGGGACACTGCCCTTATGCACATGACTTCTGGAGATTCCCAGGCCACTCCTAGCCCTTGGTCTTTGTGTGTGATCTCAGGAGTCCCCCGTGCATGTCCTGATACTTGGTGGGTTCAACAATAGCTGGTGATCCTAGTGTAGATCCCAGCCTATGCAGCCACCGTCCCATCCCCATAGGTTGTTTTCATTTCCCTTCCCGCCCCCTCGACTAATTTGTTCTTTGTCTTTCTGCACTTTGCCGTGTGGCAGTCACCACTGCAGCTGCTCTGCACTGATCAGGTCTTCCTCTTTCCACCCATATGATGCTGAATTGGCTTCCTGAAAATCAAAACCACAAGCCAGAAAAATAAAAAGAGGCAGAGAACTTTCTCTGCAAAAACCATTCACAAGAAAAAGAAAAAGGTTTAGACAGCGCAGGAAGACTACCCGGACCCTCCATCCCCAACCCACGATGAAATTCTTTTCCAGCCTGTGCCAGTGAGAGTAATGGATGTGCTTCGGGTGTTCCTGTTGGCTCTCTCCGTGACGGCACCCAGACCAGGTACCCACCTCTTCCTTCTCAGCATCCCCTTTTCTCTCCTTCTCTTTATGCTGGGATCCCCATGAATTTAGCCTTTCATCTTCTTTGGTTGAATCGTGGTTGCAAGATTCGGGTAGCTTTCTTCTCAGTAGCTGGTACATGATGCCTTTTGCATCATATGGTCTCTGATCTGGGCCCTGTCTTGGACAGCTCAGCGTAGCCCCATTCAAGTCATTTACATCTGTCCATCTCAAGTCAATAGGACTTTGTTGCTATAAATTCAGGGGTGGGCAACAGTATTGCATTGGCAGTTCTTGACCCACAGAACAGGCATACCACAGGATGAGGGGTCTGCCTCCCATTGACCCATGTGACTCCACTGCCCTGGAGTGGTGGACCACCCATAGGGAGACAGGAGAGTTCATTACCCATGTCTTATTCAGTCCACGGCCTCTGTGCCAAAGCTGTTAACTTTCAGGGAGGTATTGCTACCACAGGCCATGAGGGATTACATAGCACAGTCTCTTACTCCAAAAGGAACGGGATAGAGAGCCTTAACTAATTTGTTTTGCATAGGCCTCCCAACAATAATAGAAAGAATGGCTCTGCCATAGGCATGAGGGTGAAAATCAAATGCCTCAGAAATGTAGTGCCCTGCATGACAGGCCTCATGCCCCCTCCCCCTCCCCATGGCATTTCTATTCCCCTACTCTTCAAGAGCCACGCTTACTCCCCTGCTCTGGAACCCATGGCACATCACAGTCCTGGGCCCCTCAACTCTCTGCGCTACACTCCCTCCTTACACACCCCTTGATGTGAGGGTAGGGACATGACCATGATTTTTCTACTCTCTCCTGTCCGAGGAAACACCGATCATCTTACTCTAGCTCCACACCTAACCGAAAGCTCAGCATCTGCAAGCGGACTCTTGTCCTGAGCCCAGCCCAACCATAGCCCCTATCCTGGAAACAGAACTGGGTGAGGTCCCAAGGTGAAATTCAGGGGATTCATTAGGCATAAGACTGAACATAGGGATATGTTGGAGGAGATGCCAGGGAGCAGGGAGTAATCCAGACAGAGGAATAAAAGATGAGCGAGGGGAGATATTTTAGAAATGTCTGTTTTCTTCCCAAGAGGCATGTTCCAGAAGACCTGCTCAGGTGAGAGAGAGAGACAGTACATTGCCGCTCTGCTCTGCTGTGGGGACTTAATAGAGCACCTAAGGGAGTCCCCATCAGCTTTTTCTTCTCCTAGTGAAGACAAGGTGCCAGCATTCATTTCCTGGGGGAAATGGGGCTCCTTGCAGAGCCTGTCATGCCAGAGAAAGTCTATTCTTTTCCATATGTACCATCTGAGATTCCTTCAAGCTGAGGGTGATGGTTTTTCCAAATTAAGGGCCAGGTCTTTAACTGATGTAAATCAATCCGGCTGTGCTGAAGGTGGGTGGCTACATCATTTACACCAACTCTGGACCTGGCCCATAATCATTTAATTAATGCTAGTACAATTCTTCAGAGCACTGCTTCATTATCAATGTCATTCTTATTACTGCTTACCTCTGCCACCAGGATCGCAGGGGGTACACAACTGCTAATGAGGGGCTAACTTAGACCAGTGAGTCTTGAACGTTATCACCTTTCTCGGTCAGTTAGAAGTGCCATCAGTGGTGCTTTCTGAGGAATCTATGGTCTGGTAAGAGAGCCAGTTTCTAATGTATATATGCATTGTTCTTGTGATATCCTCATCATGGGATCCTGGCACTCCACAAACAATTGGTATTGATACTTTCCATGCCTATGTTTTTCTTCAATTCTTTCTGTAACTGATAGTGTTTGTCAGTCTTTTCTTGCGTTTTCAACTAGATATGATTGTCAAATGGGAATGAGAACCCTACAATGAAGTATCCCTTCTTTTTTATAACTCCTGTATCTAGTCTTCTAATAAGAAGAGTAACAATTGAAAAAAAAACATAATTTTTTTGCACTTTTCTTCATATTATTGCTATTCCTCTAGCACCTCAGATATGCCCAGGACAACAATTACTGCTGAAAATAACATAGAAATCCTCTGATATTTCTACCATTGATTGATTGACTGGTTATTGCAGTCTCATTTGTTTCCAGCGCAATGGTGCATGCTATTCCTGCCTCTTCGTTTCTTTGTTACTGTATTGCTGGATTCTTTCTTGCTTGCTGCGGCCCTGAGTGTAATTTGGTGATACAGCATTTTCCTTGTTTGAAGCAATTTCATTTTTAAGTGAACTGGGTTTGGTGTTGCTGGATAATGAAAACTGACTGTTATTTATATGGAATAAATGTTGAGAATGGATCCTTGTGAGATCCTAGTGTAGAACCATGGGGCTAGGGCAAGCTTGTTCCACTGCCCAACCTGCATAGCAAGATGATGGAGTCACCAGGACAGTGAATTCCCTGTCTATTGCCAGTATTAAATCCATAACAAATGCATCATTATCTATCGCTGCTTTGTAACCCATCATGCTCACCATCGTGTTTTATTTCTGCCCTGGTCTTTATTTTCACTCCTAAACTGGGGACCATTCAGAAGAAAAATGAGAGAAAGCATTGCTAAAAATGTTACCATTATTTTTTCTTAAATATCCTGTAATAATTTTCTGAGATGGTAAAATCTCAAGAGATGAGATTATCCATAGACAAGCATTGTTATAGCTCCATTGATTATCGTGTTTTACACCAGCTAAGGCCCAGACCCACTATATTTTTGGATAATTATTTATTTCCACAAGATAATTTCATATTAAAAAAGATATTGCATATTTATCCTTTCTGGAACACTTGAGACTTTAGCAGTTACACTCAGGTAAATGCATCCCAATATATACATGCTAGCAATAGTTTAAAGAATTTGATACATCAAAACCCTATCAACTGATAAAAATAATAGTAGGATTTATAAGCACTTTAATCAGGAATATTCAATGTATAGAATGCCAGTGCTATGTAAATGATTAATAATAACAATTGCTCCATTTCCGTAGGCTATTATTGATCTGAATATCCTGGCATGAGATTATTAACTTAATTAATGGTGTTCACTTCAGTTATTTGTTGTATAAATTGCATAGCATCTCCTGCTTTTCTGTAACCAGTTATATTGAACATCCTTATAAGTGAGGGAAGAAGCCATTCTGTGTTTTTACGTGCATTTTATACCTCTAACATCACATAGATTTCATGCTAACAACATTAGCTTAATAGAATATATTTGATGTGCTTTGAAACAATAAGGAACAATTGGATACAACAATGGCACATATCACATTATGAAACAATAGTATGCATCTTTCTTGATGTTTGTGGTATAGTTAATATAGAACACATTTTCTGTGAGATCTATAAAGATAACCACAGGTTATCACAGACCATTGTCTGAAGTCTTGAAATCAGCAGCTATGCCGAGGATTCATTTTAACATTTGACCTGTGCACACAGTTTTGCTGCTGCCCTTTTATTAAGAAATCCCTCAATCTGATCAGTTCATATCCATCTTAGCACAAGAGCTGAAATGCATCACTATATTAAACACCTAAAGCTCTAAATGGCTAATGCTTATCTTCATCCAACAGGCAGTAGGTACATACACACAGCATCCATTATTAGAGCATCTGGGCATTTCCTAAACACCCCTGTGAGACAGAAAAATGCTGTACAGAAGGAGTAGCTGAGAGAGATAGAATGCCTCTCCTGAGGATATACAGAGCAAGGAATGGGTTTCTTTGGTCCCTGACTTGTGTCATAACTGCTGGGCCAGTACAAATTAATGAGTAGAGAAAGGAAGGCTAGGTTCAGTTTTCTGCTCACGGACACAAGAAAGGTGATTCTTTGTGTTACGTCTTCTACAGAAAATCATTCCACTCCCATCACAGTAGAAGCACCCTAGCTTGCCTTATTCCCTGGCATAAATCCACTGAAATGGAAAAGCAGAATAATGAATTCAGAACGGGTAGCATTTCCAGCGATAGACATCAAAGCATTCACGGACGGGGGATCTGCAGCTCAGCGGGGCTGTCTGCTCTCCACTAAAAATCCTCACTAAAAACAGGCCGTCCATATACGTTAAATAAAAATAAAAGAGAATGAGGAAGGAGAGAGGATAGAATCAAAGAGACAGGACTAAAATGATACAAGCCCCCAAGGGCATAACCTATCAGTGGGGAAGAGATAAGCGTGTTTAGCCTAAAATAAACCCACATTGACAATGAGCTCTATTAGACTGTGAAATTGGTTCCCTGGGGGTACGAAGAGGTGGAAGGCCTGTTGCTCAGTTGGAAGGAACAGAGCACTCAAGGATGCAGGGGCGTAGGCCTGCACTGCCGTGGAATGAATAAAGTGACCTCATTTTTAAAAACAGCCCTAGCTTAGGTGCCTGTCATTTTTCACAAGTACAAGCAACAGCAGCTGCCTGCAAACCAGAAAGACAACTGGGTGTTTGGTGACCACTGTGCTCTGGAGGGTATGATTGGTCAGCATGAAAAGACCAGTTGCTTTACAAAGCTGGCATGTGAAGGACCTGCCACCCTCTATTTCTGTACCATAGGGAGGACACCACTGACTGGCATTTGAAGGAGCAGGGGTCTCTACTTGGAAGTGTCTTGAGCCTGGTATTTGGGTGCTGACTTCACTTTGAGCTGTCGGGCACCCCCATGAATCTAACCCTGTAGGAACCTCAAGGTCTGCACTCAGGATCGGAGGCCACTTTTGACTCCAGCTCTATAGCTCAGTAGCTATAGACCAGGTCCTCAATGGGTATGTTTACATGTGCATATTAATGCGATACAATAAACTCCAGCGCATATCACGCTACAGTTTATTACTCCCAGGAGCTGTGTGTACAGGTGTACCTGGGATGCATGTTGAGCCAAGTCAGAGCCACCCCAGCTGGCAGGGAAGCCAGAGGGTCATCCTACAAACCCAGGGCTGCTCCTACCCAGCTCAACATGCTGCAGAGGGGCTGGCTGGGCCACGAGGGTGCTCCAGTGCAAG